TGGAACCGTCACAGCCACGACAGCTGTATCAAGTGAATGACAGCTGTATCAAGTAAATGGATACAGCTGTCGTGGCTGTGACGGTTCCACCTGAAGACGGAAGCTTGTGTTGCCTCCGAAACGTCGTGATTTTTATTTTATTTTACTTTTATTAATTTTAATGTTTTACCTACGTGACTTTACCGAAAAAACCTAAGAATATGAATCCTTGCAGTCACGAAAGCTTCAAATCTAGAAATCGTGCATAAGTCAGGCGCTATAGGGCAACTGCGTAGCTCCGTTACGGGCAGCTGAGGGCAGCGTGGCACTACGCTCCCCGCCTATCACCAGGATGGTGAAGTATGGTCGAATAATCACAACGACCTAAGAACAAACCTGTCAAGCACTTATCAGCGCCCTACCTTATTACGGACCAATTCAGAGCTTATTGGTCACCCCGTGCCCCTTATACATCTCAAAGTTCATCCGAAAAAGTCCCATCACAAGGGAGAAACACAAACAAATAGACAAAAATATGTTGTTTGAAACGGCTGTACGCCGTACGGGCCTGACAACTCAATTTCCCTGTACAAGAATACGAGGTAAATCGTGTGGTTTGACAGCTATGCCTAACAAAGCGTGGGGAGGCCCTCATCCAGCAGTGGATCGACCATGGCTGCTGGTGATGTAACGTCCCTGCAATGTAGAGAAATATTATCTTCTTGGTTCTTTCGGTAAAGTCACGTAGAAGGGAAGTAATAAAATAATAAAAATGAAACATAATAAAATAATTCTCACGACGTTTCGGCCACAACGCAAGCAGCCGTCCTCAGGTGAAGACGGCTGCTTGCGTTGTGGCCGAAACGTCGTTGTGGCCGAAACGTCGTGAGAATTATTTTATTATGTTTTATTTTTATTATTTTATTACTTCCCTTCTACGTGACTTTACCGAAAGAAACAAGAAGATGAATCCCTGCAGTCACGAAAGCTTTACATCGAATTTTAGAGAAATATTAATTTAACGTCTTGCCCCCAGCGTTCTCATTGGCTGGAGATCACGGCACCGCCCGCCGCGTCTTCTCATTGGCTCCCCACTAATTTCAGTTCTGGCACTCAGAGGGGGGGCAGTGGGGCGCGCGGGGGGGCGAGGGGAGGGGTCGGACGAGGAGGAGGGGGCGGAATTGAGGGGGGGGGGGCTGCGGGAGGGGAGGGGGTCTGGGGGTCGTCTCGTGCCGCCTCGTGCCAGGGAGGGGGGGGATGAGGAAATGGGGGTGTAAGGGCATCTGCGACGGATACCTCTAATAGCGTAACGGAGATAAAATTAAACGAATTCTTTGGTTGGCAGTGGTGCACAAGAACAAATCGGCGACGTTTCGGAGATGTGACCCTTCTGCACGAAGAAGGACCATTGCCCGAAACGTCGCATCGTATTTTTTTTCCCTCTATGACCACCAGCGTTTAGACTCAGAGTCGTCAGGAGGAATCTGATGAGCTATGAAGCTCTTTGTTTCACAGGCGTTCAGGCAAGGGGCGGGTCAGCAAGTTACAAAAAAACAAAAAAATGATGGGAGTGCAAAGTAAAGGAAAAAGATCAAGCAAGTCACTGAATATGAATAAAAATTGAAGTCCGATTTTTTTAACACAATGCAAGCCTGGGCAAAGCGGCAAACCCACCAACAAATAAGTAATATAAAAAAAAAACTTTTTTGAAAACACGCTTTTATGAAATGTACCGTACTAGTAATGGAAGAACTCCACGACTCCAGGAAGTGGCCGCGAAGCTTGCCATAACGTCAGGGACCGTGGCCAATTACAGCCAACGTCAGTTGAGCGTGGACAATTAGACCCAAGCCGAAACATAACATATACAAATAATGTTTAAATATATTTATTTTTTATGATAGAATATAGTATTGTCATCAGTATGACATAAGTATAGCAAGTTTTCAGTCGATACCACATTGGGAAGTGGGTTAAAGTTTAGTTACAAGATTTGAGGATACGACAACTTCTAGATTTGAAGCTTTCGTGACTGCAAGGATTCATACTCTTAGGTTCTTTCGGTAAAGTCACGTAGGTTAAAAAAGAATAATAATAATAAAATAATAATAATAAATGAAAATAACTCAATTAAATCACGACGTTTCGGAAGCAACACAAGCGTCCGTCATCAGGTGTAACTGCTCCAGTTTAAAACGTCGTGATTTAATCGAGTTATTTTCATTTATTATTATTATTATTATTTTATTATTTTTACCTACGTGACTTTACCGAAAGAACCTAAGAAAACGACAACAACAACGACGACAACAACAGACAGAATGAGTTAAATGAAAGCGTGAATAAGTATAACCCGTAAAAACAAAGTTTTTCACTATGAATCCTTTATATGCGTGGCGGCTAGAGTCATCTCGTCCTCTGGCTTGAGATGGCTGCCCCCTATGGGTCAGATGATTGCATTGCACATTAAGCAATTGGTAATTAAATATAATATTTTTGTCCTAAAAAGTGTAACATTTTGGATAAAAATTTTCACGAACATTAATTGTCACGCACAACGAGTCTGTGTGGAAAATGTCAGCTCGATTGGATCACGGGAAGTGGGTTAAAAAACGACCGAAAGATTTTCACGGTCCTAAGCAAGCAAGCGAACTTAATATAAAGGATTTAAAAAGACAGTCTCAGACCACACCAAGATATCGTAGAGCCCCTCAATAAAATGGCAAAGTTTACGAATGTGTTGATTTATTTGTACATTAACCTTACACCAGCCATCCCACATTGCTAAAGCAACTTCTTGAAATCTTGTTTTTTTGTTTGACAGAAAATTGCGAGTAAGGAACGCATTGCTCTGTCTTGTTCATGCTCATCTCACAACCCTTCGTTATTCGGAGCACGAAAAGTACAGGAAGTTTTATTATTACATAAAACAGATTATAATATACTCATAGTTTTTTTTCGGTTAAATCACGAATGTAGAAATGAAATGTAAATAAAATCAAAATCACGACGTTTCAAATGCAACAGAAGCGCTCATCATCAGCTTGTGTTGCGTTCGAAACGTGATTTAATTTTATTTACATTTTATTTCTGCATACGTGACTTTACCGAAAAAACCAGCGAGTATAGTCATTTCTGCAGTCACGAAAGCTATTTAGATTATAATATTAATAAATAAAATAAAAATACGTAATAAAATGCCAAGATATTATGCTTTGTAATTTGTTTTTGTTTGTACACACACAGTATTATCGAGGATTTATCGATGATTTAAAGAGTATTTTGGTGAAATAATCGCCCAAATAAAGAGCACAATTTTAAAAGTTCGAGTAATTTCTAATGAACCGTGGTCAATCTTCTGTAATCGTTACTCACACCTCCGCCGTGTCGCTCTCTATTGGTATTATGATTTCCTAACGTCTTCTTACCCCGTTTCAATTCAACTCCGTGTTTATTTGTCGCCATTTACCGTACCCTGTCAACCCCTTATCAGTGCCTACCTTATCACGGACCAATTCAGACCTTATTGCTCACCCCGTGCCACTTATAAATCTCAACGTTCATCCTACAAAGTCCCATCACAAGGCAAAAACACAAATAAATAGACATTTTATTTGCCCGTATTGAAACGGCTGTACGCCGTATGGACTTGAAAACTCAATTGCCCTGTACAAGAATACCGGGTAAACCGTGATGGGTTGACAGCGATGAGTTACCCAGCTAGTTTTGGTGGCAACGGCCCGCAGCCACTAACAATAGTTGCTGTTGGGGTGGGCAGGAGCCCAGCCGGCAGCCAGCCATGATTTTGAATAGTCCAGTCAAGTCCTGCCCGTGTGATGTCGGCTAGCGCCTCTAGTGCCTGCAATAAAATATAAACACATTCCTGCGGAGGAAGCTGGTAGGAACGTTGGGTTGCTCGGTCAATGGCCAGGGTCAACGGCGGCGTGGTGTATTCCGCAAATATGGCCGACTGTGAGGGCGGGCACAAGCCGGCGTGAGTAGGTTAAACGTTGAGTTTTATAAGGGCACCACGGGGTGACCAGCCCCTCCCCACGCAGCCCCACCCCTCCCACCCCCCAACCAGCCCCACCCTCCCCACCCAGCCCCTCCCCACCCTCCCCACCCTCCCCACCCCGCCCCTCCCCACCCTCCCCTCCCCACCATCCCCTCCCTGCACGACGGACGGACGGACACAATAATCCCCTGTGGGTTGGTGTAACCAGGATGTTCCTACCAGTAATATTGGCCCCTTTTAGCCTTTAACAGACTGCTGGGGCAAGTGCCGTTAGCAAGCAGCAGCAGCACCGATGGAGGAGGCACTGTGGTCATTTGTGGCTGAGTGGACCTAGGGGAAGGCCCACCAAAGGACCGGTTCAGATAATCGTCACTCGTGGTGGCCGTGAGAGGAATCGAACTCGGGGATTTGGAAGGGGTGGGGGAGGGGGTGGGGGTTTGGGAGGCGGGAGGGAGGAGGGGGGAGGAGGGAGGAGAGAGGGAGGAGGGGGGGGAGGAGGAGGGAGAGGGGGAGGAGGAGGGAGGGGGGGAGGAGGAGGGAGGGGGGGAGGAGGAGGGAGGGGGAAAGGAGGAGGGAGGGGGGGGGAGGAGGGAGGGGGGGAGGAGGGAGGGGAAAGGAGGAGGGAGGGGGGGGGGGGAGGAGGAGGGAGGGGGGGGAGGAGGAGGGAGGGGGGGAGGAGGAGGGAGGGGGGAGGAGGAGGGAGGGAGGGAGGGAGGGGGGAGGAGGAGGGAGGGGGGGAGGAGGGAGGGGGGAAGGGAGGAGGGGGGGGAGGAGGGAGGGGGGGAGGAGGGAGGGGGGAGGAGGAGGGAGGAGGGGAGGAGGAGGAGGGGGAGGAGGGAGGGGGGAGAGAGGAGGGGAGGGGGAGAGGAGGGAGGGGGGAGGAGGAGGGGGGGAGGGGGCGGAGGGAGGGGGGAGGAGGGGGGGAGGAGGGAGGGGTCGCCAAATCATCCAATGGCGCTTGGGGGGGGGAGGGAGGCCCCCACGCGTGACGTCGTCACCAGCCCCGGTGACGTCACGCGCGAGGGAGGCGATCCCAGAATGCGCAGCGCGCGCAAGATGGACGACGTCTCGGTGGAGGTGCGCGGCTCCAATGGGGCGTTTTACAAGGTAACTCCTCTCTCTCACGTCTCTCTCACACATCTCTCTCTCGTCCTCCTCCTCCCTCACGCTCGCACGTCGACACAATGCGGTCCCCTCGACAAAGCGACGCGCGCTCAATCGATGGTCGCAATTGCCGCCCACACTCCCCACCACCCCGTCGCTGATGTCAAGAATCTCCTCTTGGGGGGGGTTAGCCGCTCGCCCTGAGGCGTCTCGCGTTCATTCATTTTTGTTTCGTGAGCGAAAGGTGCCGCGATTGCCCCGGCCAGCATTGCCTCGGCGTGACTCACGAGGGCGTGGGGGGTGATTGTCTCGCCGAGCAAACCTTTGGGAGCCCCCCCCCCTCCCGTTTTGGTTCAGTGAGCCCCCCATCGGTGCACGTCGGCGTGGTTCGACGGGGCCTAGCGAGGCACACAAGGCCCTAGCGCTACTCAATGGGCCTTGAGTTTGAATCCGTGAGCCTTGGGGTGGCTCGTAGAGCCTGAGCACGGCTCTAATGAGCGTTCGTTGTAGCTCAATGAAGTCTGCAGGGTTTAACGTGTTGATGGTGGGTTTCGTGAACCCCCAAGCGTGGCCCGCTGAGCCTGAGTTGCGGTGTAATGGGGCCATAGTTTGGCTCCGTGGACTCGCCCTGACCCAACATTTCAGTCAGTGGGGGAATATATGTCCCCTCTGTTGGTCCATCGCGAGAAGAGGCGTCTTCTTCGAAGGAGGTCTTCGTCATTCAGCTGCTGCTGATGGGCCCTACCAAACACACATTAAGAGATGCACAACTATTTGCAGGCAAAAAACCAAGATGGTTACTTCTAGCAGCAAGGGGGGAGGCTTGTGTTTGGCTGGTTAGCTTCTGGTTTTTTGAGAGGCGTTTCAGCTGTCGATTGATCAATTGCTGTTGATTTAAATTGGGCTGTAGTGTTAGAAGACGACACTGCGTCGGCATGTGATAGACGCGGTCGGACCTCCAGTTGCGATTTAATTGAGCATGGTCATTAATTATGGTATCTTTTATCCAGCAAAGTCTATCACTAATTCACTATGGAATATGCACAGTCTTAGAATTCCGAAGCGAAGCAGGTTTTACCTTGGATAGTGCTTGGATAGGGTAATTGCCTATCGCAATCACGTTGTGATAGGCTGCCGTGTCGAGCAGCAGACTACATTGCAGCAAAATAAATGTTTTACTCTTGCTTTTATGCTTGGCATATACCCCCTCTGTGCTCCCACCCACGTTCACCAAACCCGCACTGAACAATGTGGTGAAGTATGTTCAAATATCGCACTTCCCACACGGCATTGGAAAATCCCTCATCCAGCAGTGGATTGACAAGCCCCACTCACGTCCTAGAACGCCTTTTAAGAGGGTTACTCCATTTGGGAGTTTCGGAGAATTCAATTGATTAGTATTTGGCTCATTGGAAGGAAACCGGAGGAGGACCCAGAAAACCACTAACGCATTACAATGTGGCTTGCACTCAAAGCTCACCCACATATTCACTGCTGTACTCCCATCGCCTGGTTAACTTCGCATCCCTAGCCGACAATGCCGAATGGTTCTCAGGCAGTCGCCATCTAATAATTAGCCAGGCTCAACTGCTGCTTGGATTGCGATGCTGAGCACATTCATTGGTTATTCGATGGCAGGTAAAATACTGTACAATACTAGGAAGTGAGCTGGGAGTTATGGTTAAGGGCAGGGCGATGGCTAATAAACACATCGGTTACCATGGTAAGACAATGGACTAAGGTTATACAGTAGTGTGGGACCGGGGTATAGTTTGGGTGTGGGCTTTAACCTAGGGTTAATATTTAAAATATAACGCGCTGTGTGTTTTGATGAAGCAGAACTATTTCTGCCTGTGACTGATTCTAGCCATGGTTAGGAGTATTACTGTGAGCGTACGAAGTTAGGGAAGCGCTAGGGTTAGGGCAGCACGGTGCTTTATTTTAGAGTTGGGACCAATGTTGAAGTTAAGAAACAACGTTATATTGCAAGTAGAGTTGTGATTTACGTTACGGCTATATTTCTACGCTAATGACCGAATCACCTGGACATGCACCGGATCTCAGAAGCTAAGCAGGATTGAGCCTAGTTCGGGCTTTTGCCGGAATGTCTCCATGCATGACGCATTGATTTTATGCCGCTGTGCGGGCAACTCGCGGGCAATGCAGCAAAGTCCTCTGTTATACTGTACTGCACTTCTATGCTCCCACGTCTAGTCTCACAGCCTTCACAGACCTGCGCATGACCTGCCTGGTGCAGTATGATCATTATGAACGTCGCAATTGCAGTTTCATATCGCCTCTCACAACCTCACTGCCAGCGGCATGCTTTAGGAAGGTGCAGTATTCCTTCGCTCATCGAAGGATGTAAATATGAAAGGCGCCCCAAGTTCCAGCATTCGGTTCCTCTGTCTGTGAGAGGCGATGGGCGTCGCTCGACTTGAAGTGACAAGTTCTCTATATGTTTGGTGAACTTCTTTCGCACCGTACGTAGCCAACCTTGCTCATGTGCGCAGTGGCGAGAAATCTGGCCGAGCATGGATCCGCCCATTCCCACCCCTTATCTGCCTTGCCAGCGGTATTAATAGATGCTCGCTTAAGAGCTCTTGTGATGACAGAAGGGGAAAAAACTGACGAATGTCATGTTGAAGCCATACTACCGGTGGCAAATGCGGCCTTGTTATTTTAATCGGGAGGGTTGTGTAATCAGAAATTTCATAATGTTCAATAATTTTGTACCCGTGATGGGTTCACCTTTTCACATTGGCCAATCGAGCCGCGCACGCATTGCGTACAACTCTTATCGTCAAGCCGCTGCTGGATGAGGGCCTCTCCATGCCGCAGGGGACGGGGTCATTCTTTTGTACAATATTTAGCTCTCTTTGGTGCGGGTTGGCAAAGTCGGGATAGTAGGCATTGGAACATAGTGCAGTACAGTACAACTATATTTTTTAGTTTTGGTACGATGCGCTCTACTGACAACGTGTAGGCCTCTGCAGTAGCCTGCAAACACAAGTTGTTACCACATGGTGTTCACTCATCCAAGCACTAGCCAAGCTCAAAATTCTGCTTGGCTTCCGGGATTTGAACACGTATCTGGCGCATTTTGTGGTGATGTTTTAATACTTTTACAACGGTACAAATGGAAACGCGGGGAGGGACCCCCCCCCCCCCCGTGGTGTAGAAAATCTGTCATTAATACGGTGGTAGCAATAATGAATGGAGTGCGCTGCTGATGGCTGCTGCTGAGTGCTGGCGGTGTGGTGGTGGGTGACGCCTTGAGGGACAGGTGTGTGTCGTCATTTCACAGAAACTATATTCATATCACTCACAAGGCTGGGCTTTATTTTGACCATTTACTGCGCAGGCGTGTTGTGTGTGTGTGTGCGCATGTGGCATGTATCATAAAGTGGGTGAATGAGTACCTGGTGCGGTGCATAAAAATATCGCCGCTAGGGAGACAAAGGCGGCTGGGCGTGGTGCTGGCCAACCCACCCCCTCGTGTGCCGTTCCGGCCTTCGTAGGGGCTTGCTACCAGCACTTGTCCCAACTGCAAGAACAATTAAACAGCTGCTCATTTGGAAATGTTATGTATTGTTTTACTTGTGTAGGTGTAACAAATAAAATGGCACCATTGAAGTTTTTCCACGTTGGGTGGTACCGATATCTTGTCTGGACCAAGGACAAAACAGTCTCTGTAAGGATATACGGGGGACTTTGTTTCCAGTAGACATGTAGGGGGGGCCAACACCTGTGACGATTATCTGAATCGATCCTGGGCCCACCCATAGGGGAGACAAAGGCGTCCGTGCGTGGTGCAGGCCTCCCACCCCCTCGTGTGCCGTGCCGGTTGCTACTCGCTCACAGCACTCGTCCCTAACAGTCTGTTCAGGCTATACGGTGTCTCTTTGTCTTTCTAGGGGGGTGTAGGTGCTTGTATGTATACTGTGTGTATTCATGTTTTATATGCATACATATTTTTTCGGAGTTGCATGCGTTTGTATGTGGGAAGCAATTTCTTCTAACCTTTATTGAACTTGCCGCGTTATCTGTTTATATTCTTTGGAATCTTTGACGCTTCATTTTTTCATGATCGACGAAGCCTTTCGAGCTGACATTTTCTACACACTCGCCTTCTCAAGTGACAATTTAATATTTAATTTTAAAAACCCATTCCAGGTCCCGCCCATCGTGGTCCTGTTAGTGTTTTTAACAAATTTTTACTAATTAATAATCCTACATTGGAATACCACACCCCTTTTTTTTAAAAATCGCGAATGGTCACGGACACCTGGGACGGCAAACGTCTGCTCCAATCACAGCGGCTGTTGCTGGCCAGCCGATGACCAATGAGGGGCGCGCATCTATCGCCTCCCCCGTCATGGCGCCGGAGCGGCCATTGTGGCTGCCCCCCCTCTTCCTTAGCGTGATGCCAACAAGTACACAAACTATTATTAGGTAATAAACAAGATTTTCAATGCACACTCTTATTTGCACTCAAGTAGAAAATTATCTTCTTGGTTCTTTCGGTAAAGTCACGTAGAAGGGAAGTAATAAATAAATACAAATAAAACATAATAAAAAAAAATTTCTCACGACGTTTCGGCCACAACGCAAGCAGCCGTCCTCACATGCTCAATAAAGTGGGTGGCTTTTCGCTAAGTTGAATTCTCTTTATGCAAGCCACCCACTTTTATTGAGCGCGTACATTTTGATTAAATCCGCGGTCAAAAGCATATATTTTCTACTTTTGAGTGCAAATGAAAGTGTGCATTGAAAAGCTTTTTCTTTTCTTTTTATCTGTTCAGCACACTAGTTGCCCTGTAAGCTCAGTCACCGGGGCCTGAATCTAAGCCACACACCATTGACAAATTGTTACGTGAATCTGGCATTTGCCAGCCTTTTTTCGACTTGGTATAAAATTACTTTCAGATGTTGTTGTTATGTCAATCATTTACTCTGAGAAAATAAAGGCAAGTCAAGAAGGAACTTTCAAAAAGCATAAA